TGCACTTGCGATGCGAGACCGTGGATCTTCCCAAAAGAGTCCCCCCCCCCCTCTTCCCCCCCCGGTAGTGTTTTGCCAAACCTCCGCCGCGCTCGGGGCCAACTTCTGGGAGTTTAAGAACCCACAGAGCCCTTAACTAAGGAATATATCTTGAATGAGAGTAAGGATCCTTTTGTAAATTAATGTACATTCCTGGATGCAGAGGTAGTGCACTCTTTGGGAGAATCATGTTGGCTCTCGGGGGGGAGCTAAGAACTGAAAGTGAAAACATGTGACTTCACGTGACTGTGGGTGTTTATGATGAGACTTACAAAGGTTTCATTCGTCCCTCCGGAGCAATTCAAAGAACCCCTTCATTCAGGAATATACCTGAATCATAAAGGGGTCCCGAATATGATTGAAGTAATCTTCCTTAATCATCGGGTTATTGGTATTGGGCTCTTTGGGGGTGTCTGTGGCCATCGGTACATGCCCCCCATTCTTCTCATTTATGGGGGGGCAAACTCCTGATCCAGCCCCGAAGCGCAACCCGCAGACGGGCCTGCAAGATTGCTGCATTAAAATGTCAAAGCTTTTTAGAAGCTTTGAACGCCAAGACTGAGGGGAGGATCTGGCTCCCAGACTTCTTGGGATAAGGGAACGGAATGCAACAGGAACGGAGATCCCGTTTCCTTGATCCAAAAGCCGGCAATGCACTTCGCAAGTTGCAAGCGCCCTGCTTCCTGTCTCCTCCGGGTTTCGTCAACGCCAGAGTGTGCTGTGCTTGCTTGCGTGTGTGATTCTTCCAGCTCATGCGGGAGGCAGCACCTCGTTCACAGCTTCACCTTGGGGGGGGGACCAGATGAACCTTAACATTGGGGGTCACATACCCTATACTAGAATAAGTCTTCTCAAGGTGTATAAGCCATAAGCCCTTTAGGGTTCATTTCGTCACCAAGGCAAATATCAGAGGTGGATCACCTGGCAAAGCGCAACCTTTTTCACACGCGTGAGACCGCACTCGCTACATCGGCAAGATGTCAGCGGCAATAACCCTAAACCCTAAACCCTAAACCCTAAACCCTAAACCCTAAACCCTAAACCCTAAACCCTGAACCGTGGCGTGAGAGCATCGTCGAGGAAGCCTTGGGCTGGCACTTCTTCGGGAAACTTTTTTTGGGGGGGAATCTTTTTCTCGGGGACCCAATGAACTTCAACAAATTGGGGGTCATGTACCCTCTACTACTATCATTCTCACTAAGGCCTTTGAACCATGCAAATTGGGGTCATACACCCTATACTACTATCATTCTCATTAAGGCATATGAACCATGAACCCTTTTAGGGTTCATCTCGTCCCTGAGGTTGCAACATGGCACCAGTGGCATCAGTTCGCCCAATGTGGGCTGTGGCGACATGTGGCGACAATCGGGGTGGGGGGGGGGGGGTCCCCTAAACCCTAAACCCTAAACCCTAAACCCTAAACCCTAAACCCTAAACCCTAAACCCTAAACCCTAAACCCTTGTTTTTGCATCCGGGCTGGCCGGGAATCAGGATGCTGCCACACGAACTCTGTTCCGCGGAACCCTAAACCCTAAACAACCCTAAACCCTAAACCCTAAACCCTAAACGGTCAGCTCTTCTGAAGAACTGGGATGGCCTGTGGCAGCCTGGGTGACATAGACGAGGGAGAGCAGGACCAACGTCCTTTCAGGTTTGGTGTCTCGGGTTGAGGTTTAGGGTTGAGGTTTAGGGAGGAGATGTTCCCCCTTATACAAGCATAGTAATCGGGGGTATTGTATACTGTTAAGGACTGTTGGTGTGTAGCGTTGAGGCTTCGGGTTGAGGTGTTCCCCCTTGTACAAGCATTATAATAGGGGGTATTATACTGTTAAGGACTGCTAGTTTAAGGGGAACATCCCAAGTTTAGGGTGTGTAGAGCCTAAAAAGCAGGTGGAGGCAGTGGGTGGGTGCAATAGACGGCTTCGCACACCCGAAGAAAAAAACCGCAAAAAAAACGCAATTGAACGACAGCTACTGTTAAATATATCCGCTCACAGAAGGATGACGGCTGTTCAGGGGGGTCGCTGCTGCTTTGCAGTTCCCAAAAACAGTACTAAAAATGCCCCCCCCCCCCCCTCCAAATCCTATCAGACCCTGGACTGAGCAAGCAACAAGCTCTAACAACTACACGCCACGTAGAGCTAAGGATGCACGGGGGGTGTATATGGGTCTAAGGGTTCAGGGTCTTGGGGTTTAGGGGTTTACTTGGAGGTTCATGGAACTAACCAAGTATAAGTGTGGTCATAACCCAAGTCTAAGCACCCTTAAGTGCCCCAAAATGTTTATAAGTACAGTTTTTCTTGGTGAAAAGTACCATGGACCTCCAAGTAGGGCCTCCTCCCTTGTCACACAAGACAGCCCTGAACCAGAAAAAATCCTGCGCAGCTCGTGCTGGGGATGTTCCCCCTTACTAGGATGGGCTACTAGGCCTTATAATCCCCATAATCAACCCTATAAAGGGTCTTTTTGGGAGGTTCTAGGGTATAATAGCGCATCCTGGTATACTAACAGCTCCTTTGCTTTAGTTTCCCAGTACCCCGGGGGAACGAAAGGTTAACCTTTGGGACTTAAAGGGGATTATATGACCCCAAAAAGGTTCAAGGTTACCTACTCTACTACTAGGTTGTCAGGATTATACTCGGGGGTACTGGAATCCCAACTAAGGACTGTTCGCATCAGGGGGGAACACCCCAAGTTCGTGCCACGGTTTCTTGGGAGGCCAGAAACCGTATTGTAATCAGGTGAATTCACATGCTCACTTTCTACCCTAAACCCTAAACCCTAAACCCTAAACCCTAAACCCTAAACCCTAAACCCTAAACCCTAACCCGAAACCCTAAACCCTAAACCCTAAACCCTAAACCCTAAACCCTAAACCCTAAACCCTAAACCCTAAACCCAAACCCTAAACCCTAAACCCTAACCCCTAAACCTAAACTGCCCCCCAAGAGCTAACCATGCTTTGAACTCCCGCAAGTTGGCAGAGGGTTTGGGGTTTAGGGCTTAGGGTTCCTCAACCCTAAACCCTAAACTGGGGGACTGTTTAGGGAAGATCCGGGGCCTCACATCGCACAGAGCGTGGATAGCCAGAGCTTTGTGTTCAGAAAATGCTTGGCTGCACACAGGAGGGTAGCTGCAAATTAAACTTTTAGCTGCCTTAATAAGAAACCAATAAGCCCAGAAAAGGTAAGGATCTATATAAAGCTACAGTAAAGTACCACAAAGAATGATTCCCCAAAGAAGATCGGGGACCAACAAAAACTTGGTGGCCCAGTTGTGCCCTGCTGGTTCAAGGCTCCCTTATCAAGTAACCAACCCCCAAAAAAAGGGTGCCCCACCTGCTTGCGATTCAAGAAAGACTCTGTGATACCCTAAAAAACTTCTAAACCCTAAACCCTAAACCCTAAAAAACTTATGGGACCTTCCGAAAAACCCTTCAAGCCCCCCAAGCGACTTCCGCACCCGCAGACGTCCTGCAAAATTGCCTTCATTGAAGCTCCCCAGGTGGAAGGAATGGGAGCAACAGGAGCGGAAACAAGCAAGCCATACTCCCCCTTTAGAACCTGAATAAACAAATATTTTTTACTATCCTCTTGGGTTTTATATTTAAACAAAAAATAATTCTCAAGGGGGATATAGCAAGCTTCTATCCTCCTTGATCCAAGCCTGGCAAATCACCAGTTCCAAGCAACTGAAGGTCCTCGTCGTTTCGCAAGCAACAGGCTGAGGGCTTGTGGGGGTCTTGGGCTGAGCCTCCCTGATGTTGGAGCACATGTGCTTTTGGTCTCCTCCGGTTTCGGAAGACAGAGAGCTGGAAAGGGCTTCCTTTGACGTTTGAGGTTTTCACCAACGAAAGTAACGAAAGAGCATGCCTTGCTTGCACGTGCGCATTTCAGCCGCTGCGACCGCCACCCTGTCTTACGGCTCTCCACGACGCAGCTTCGCTTGCACAGGTTCAGCCAAAGAGGCCGATCATCTGCAACGCACAAAACTGGCTTTCTCTTGTGCCTTGGGCCGCATTCGCTCATGTCGGCCAGATGTCAGCGGCGATGGTCAGCGCGGGAGTGGGAGCTTCTAATCGCTTTTGCATCCCGAACATCGCGGAGCGTATCGCAGAGATCGTTTTAGGAAGCATTAAGGAGGGGAACTCGGGTCAATTCGGGGGATCTTGCGGCCCCCTTTGAAGCAGAGCTTGGGATGTTCCCCTTATACCAAGAGTCCTTAGTAGGGATTTCGAATAGGGGGTAAGTTAATCCTAGTAAGGAGCTGTTAGTATAAGGGGAACATCCCAAAGCATAGCACCCAGTCGCCCGACGCCGTTGCGACAAACGGGGTCAGGGTACGTAGCCTTTCGGCACCAAAAGCCCTCAGCAAATGCAAAGCTCCTTAGGGGACAAAATGAACCTTGGGGTCATATACCCTACTTGAAGGCTCCAATGCAGTTCCTTTTTGGGTTCGTTCTAGGGGATTCTAGTATACTACCCCAAAAAAGTACTTCATTGGAGCCTTTGGGTATGCTATGAAAATTTCTATGAAAGTCTGTGGACTCATGAACCCGTTTAGGGTTCATGTATTCTCCAAGGCTACACCTGATTGTTTGAACTCAAATCCCCCAAGCCCTCAGGGTGTAGGGTTTAGGGTTTAGGGTTAGAAACCTTTACTGCACCAGTCTAGAGCTGGTCCGGGCTGTTCGCGAGCCTAAGCCACCCCAAAGTCCCTAGCTAAGGTCAGTAATGAAGCCCGTACCCGCTGACTCCAGAACGAGGACTGCACGGTCGGAGCTTCCCAAACCTGAAGAGCCGCACTCCCTTCAACCCTAAACCCTCAACCCTAAATCCTAAACCCTGAACCCTAAACCCTAAACCCTAAACCCTCAACCCTAAACCCTAAACCCTAAACCCTCAACCCTAAACCCCAAACCCTAGATTGTTTTCTCTGCTGGGCGCTGCAGGTGGCCTCAAGGGTCGGATGGCCTCGAAGCCTCGCGGAGCAGATCCTTTACCCTCTCCTTAGTTGTCCAGTACCCTTGGGGTTTAGGGTTTAGGGTTTAGGGTTTAGGGTTTAGGGTTTAGGGTTTAGGGTTAGGATTTAGGGTTTAGTACCCCAAAAAGGTCAAAGGCTACCTATACTCTACAGCTAAGTCTCATTGCCGGCCTGCTCAAGCGGCGTGAGCCCCTCTGCGTCCAGCGCATGGGGGTCTGCACCATGGGCCAACCTTGCAGAGGAATAGGAGCCCTAAACCCTAAATTATAAACCCTAAATCCCCCCCCCCAATTTACGGTTCATATTTGGTCCCCGAGGAACAGCAGGCCCACCATCTCTGCGTTGCCTCTTTCTGCCGCGATGTGGAGCACCTGCCTGCCTGACATGTCCTTGAGGTCGAGGACTGCGCCGTGGGCCAACAGTAGCTTCCTAGGCTGGGCCTCTTAAAAGCTATTTAGGGTTTAGGGTTTAGGGTTTCCCAAATAAGGGTTCCTTCAAAGCGAATAAGGGCCCATACACCGATGGTCGACCAAGCTTCGCCTCCTCCAGGTATCCTTTCTGCACGGCGTAGTAGAGTGGCCAACCCTGAGCCTTTCCATATGTGCTCCGAGCGTTCACGTCCGGGGCTGCGCCCTTATTGGGCTTTTGGCGCCATGAACCTATCTAGGGCCCAAGTATATAACCCTACACCCTAAACCCTAAACCCTGAACCCTCCCTAAACCCACATGTTCACATTGGATCCTTACAGTCTCTCTTCCTGTGAAAGGGAAAGCTGGGGGCCCGGCCCCGACGATGGCCTCGTGAGAGGAGCGAGACATCCATTGGCTTCGGGTTTGGGGGATTTAGGGTTTAGGGTTTAGGGTAGACCCCTGGGAGGATCCAAAAAGTAGATCCCCTTAAGGATCCAAAACAATGACCCAGTAGTAGTATGGGGTAATTTTGGGGGGTTCGACTTTTTGGATCCTCCCAGGGGTCTAAGGATAAGCATCGAATGATCTCCGGAGTCTATACTATATGGGGCCCACATAACTGGAACAGGTCTTTTTTTTCTTTTTTTGGAGGGAGAGGGGGGTTTAGTCTAGTATATTCATTAACAGGGACGATAAGGGCAAAGCTATTCGTATTTATTCCCTGAACCCTATAAACCCTAACCCCTAAGCCCAAAACTCTGTATTTGGGCCCCGGGGCCAGCAACTGCTTCATCAACCGGATGTTGCGACGCTTGACGGCAAAGCGCAGCTCCTCCTCGACCTTGTCGCGGAGGCGCTTTGCCTGCGTAGTTCAGAGTTTAGGGTTTAGGGTTTCAGGACCAAAGGAACCCGAAGAATGAGGTCATATGGGGGTTTACCATGTTAGGGGTACCTTACTGCTCTCCCTTTCTTGAAGACCAAAGGAACCCGAAAAATGAGGTCATATGGGGCTTTGAAATATTGGGGGTACCTTGTTTGGGCTCCCTTGTGTAAGGGGATCCTACTTTTTTGGGGTCCATATTTGGGGTGCCCTAATTTCGTAAAACCCCCATATACCCCATAGTATAATCCCTATTAATATGGACCGTACACCCTTTCCAAGGGCAAAAGGCGCCCACAACATTTCGTACCCCCTCTCCTGGCAGTGTTTTTCAAATTTGAACGGGAACCATTGGTATTGCAACCCTAAAACCTAAACCCTAAACCCTAAACCCAAATAAACCCTAAACCCCAATAAACCCTAAACCCTAAACCCTAAACCCTAAACCCTAAACCCTAAACCCTAAACCCTAAACCCTAAACCCTAAACCCTGAACCCTAATAAACTAAACCCTAAACCCTAGACCATGGCACTCATGGACCCTCTGGTCGACATGCTTGCCGCAAGACCAGGTTTGGATCCCTAAACCCTAAACCCTAAACCCTAAACCCGAAAACCCTAAACCCTAAACCGAACCCTCGAAACCCTACCTTGGTGACGAAATGAACCCTGAAAAGGGCTTCTGGTTCATATTACCTTAATAAGAAATATAGTGGTATAGGGTATATGACCCCCCAATTTTAAGGTTCATGGTCCCCAAGTCACATCCTAACCCGGGGCCTAAACCTTATAAACCCTGCATCCCCAGTCTCAGAGTACGACCCTGACTAGCTCTCGACCCTCGGGAACGCGAAGCCGCAGCTGCTTCTTCTTACTGGGCTGATTGCCGGTACATGTCCAGATGCACACTAACACATTCCACACTTCACCCGGCCGGCCTCAACAACCGGGCGCAGGACCTCTGCCAGGTCGTCTAGCTCGCAGCCGCTGTGAGCGCTGCAGTCGATGCAACTCCAGGAAGGGCTCGCGAGCTTGGCGAAGTCTTCAGTAGTAAAGCTCTGATAGAGTTCATACTCTCCCCATGCCCTGCCCAAGCCTGCTGCCAGTCGTTCAATGAGAAAAGCACTGGTGTCATCGCAAGTGCCTCGAAGATCGATGAGGATTATGTGGGGGTTCCAACCCATGCCCCACGATGCCATCCCAATGGTCGGGATCTCGTACTGGGCCAGAACCGAGGCCTTTAGTGCATGGGCCCCATCCATCTCCTTATTCACCACTGCCACGACAGTTCCCTGGCCGCTCTGCTTCATGCCGAGGACAAAGGACATGCTCGCAATGGACCACAGGTTGTCAGCTAACTGCACAGTCAGGTTGTCCCGGCTCTTGCCGTAACACTCGCTGACCTGGCCGCTGTCTTCGATGATGCGCCCGAGCGCTGTGTTGGGGTGGATCGTCTGGTGATCCATCAGCTCTGCAAAGTGGTTGAGCTTGCTGATGCTAGCTCGCCCAGTTGGCTCAGCCTCCCAAAATCCGGCCCACAGGAGCGCGTGCTTCGAAGCGGTGGCAAGCGGCACCATCCACCGCTCCATGAAAAGCCAGCGGCCTACCAGGGCCACGAGATCCTCCGGGAACTCTTCCGGGACCGTGGTCCGAGTAGGGACCTGTACGGCCCGGAGAAAGTCCCGGCCATGAACGAGTACGTCTTGAACGCTCCTTGTGGACGAAATGAACCCTAAAAGGGTTTATGGTTCATATACCTTCATAGGCATTAATAGTAGTATAGGGTATATGACCCAAACTTTAGGGTTCATTTGGTCCCCAAGGGTCTGGGAGCAGTTCATTCCGCTTCGATACCAGTGCATTGCGCCCGAGAACTCCTCAAGTTGCTCAGGCACACTTTCCGGGCAGTGGTCTCGGAGCTCGTGTAGGAGGATCCCCACCTGTGGGACGAGTTGTGAACCCTAAAAGGGTTTAATTATGGTTCATAGACCTTCATGAGACTTATGGCAGTGTAAGGGTTTATGGTTCATATACCTTATCGAGAATTATGGTCGTATAGTTCTTTTTGGACCACAATTTTTGAGGTTCATATCTGGTCTCCGAGGCACCTGCGTCTGGCATGTGGGTGACAGCCCATCTTTCAGTTCCGGCAGTGGCCTGACCTGGGAGACCTGTGCCAGCCACCCTTGGAGGGAGGCCTCGTCACCTCAGATGGCCATTAAAACCCTCCAGAAAAAAACACATTCCTAAGTTATGACCCTCTTAAACCCAAATAAGGGTAAAAATATATTCCTGAAGATGATCCTCTTCAAACCCAATAAGGGCTAACATGAAAAAATGTCCCTTATCAGGGCCTACCGAGTCACTGACGGGCATCTCTGTCTGGTTCATCCGCACGTGCGTGGCGATCAGGGCCTGGAGGTCCCCGGTCGTGAGGTGCCACGCCTGTCCACCATGACATGCTTCAGTGCTGTGTAGAAATACTTAGTACAAAAATCATGAGCGCTATAAATATGTATATATATGCTGTTTAGGAGTCACGAGGTTGGTTGGTTTTGCGGGGTTCTTTGCGCGCTCACGATATTATATTTGAGCGCGTTTATAATACAAAGTAATGCGCCCCAAAGTACTCATTATAAGGGTGCGTATACTATCATATTATTACTGTTCCCGCGGGCGTATATAATAGGAGAATTACAGTGAGCCCGCGCATTTCGTTCACGCGTTCATTAAAATCGCGCACTCACTTCGTTCACTTGCATTTTAATTCTCTTATTCTCTTCATAGTTTTAATACTATAATAATATAGCGGCCAAGAAGAAGAGAAAAAAACGGCCGCATTAATAGTAATAGGGTCTCGGGAGACCAAGCATCGTAAATCGCATGCTTCTAGCCTCGCGGATTCTGATCAAGTCGTGTTCTCACCCAGGTCCTGTACACTTTCCTTGAGGACCACAAGAATCCTATAATTGAGGTCGTATACCTATGCTACTGTAACCCCTATTAGGGTTACATGGAGCCATAGCCCCTTTTAGGGTTCATTTGGTCCAAATGACCGTTCCCCCCCAGGTCCCGTGCACATTTGTTGGGATTGGTTCGCTTCGCGAGCCCAGTCATGTCCAGTCTACAATTTTCGAAGCCGCCTTTCGCTTTTGGATGCCTGGGTTCGCGAAATTACAAGTCACTGCTGGACGTTCGGTCTCCCCCAAGCTCGAAACTGATTTGGACACCTGGGTTCACGCAGTGCAAAGCTGTCGTCGCTTTTGGATGTCCGGGCTCGCGAAATCCGAAACCGTCCTCGCTGTTGGTCTATAGGTTCCCGAAGAGCCTCTGACATGCGAAGCTGTCATAGCTATTGGATTTCTGGGCTGTTGGTGTCTTGTGGACATGCCCTTTGGTCCATTGGACTGCTCTAGTGTGTCCATGTGGTCCCTCACGGTTTGGGTCTACGCCGGAATAATCCTAAACATAAATATAATACTCTCAGGCAGTAGCATAGCGCGGGTTCAAAAAATGTAATACATATAATTAGGAATAGAAATGAACCGTCTCCCAAAGCCTTAGCCTCCGCAACGACGTGTGAAAGACTGGCCTTGTACTTCGCTGGGTCCACGTCCGCGTGGCCGGCTGGCAGGGCTTGGCTTCACAGGGAGCTTAGTGGGATCTTTTTCATTCTAAGTCTTGTATACTACGACTTTGCCTAAGACCTCCCCCCCCCCCCCCCCGCCCAAGAAAAAAAAAACAAACCAGAAGATAACCATCCATCTTGACCTTCTAAGGTTTTTTTTTTTGTTTTAGGGTTTAGGGTTTAGGGTTTGGGGCTTAGGGTTTAGGGTTTTTTAGGGGGGGGGGGTTGGTAAGCAAGACGAAGCATCAGGGCTTCTGAGGGGTGGGTTCTGAAGGATGGAAAGGGCGGTAGGACTTTGCCGACCCCGAGGGTCGTCGCACCGCTACCTGCAGACATTTTCGGGGGGTTTAGGGGTTTAGGGGTTTAGGGGTTTAGGGGTTTAGGGTTTAGGGTTTAGGGTTTAGGGTTTAGGGTTTAGGGTTGATTACCTCACACGAAGGACCCCAATAAGCTTTGTAGCCCATGGAACCATATTCTGATAAGGGCACCCTGTCTTGTGTTGGTGTTCAAGGGAACCCAGAACCAAAAAAAGGTAGAAGGGTAACCCGGGCTACCAAATAAGGCACACAAAACCCTACACCCCAAACCCCAAACTCTGAGCCCTGAACCCTGAAACCCTAAACCCTCATTTGGGAAGCCACAGATTTGTCCCACGGGGAGTCTCGGGGGCGTGTTGTGTGGGTTTCATGTTCTGGTGCGCTTCTTGGGTGGCTTCCGGTTGCAACGTCTGTTTGGGGGGGGGCAGGGTGGCCCTAAACCCTAAACCCTAAACCCTAGACCCTAGACCCTAAACCCTAAACCCTAAACCCTAAACCCTAAACCTCAAAGGCGGAGAGTGGCCTTCGTGGCGCAAGGCCAGCAGAGAGCTGCAGCTCAAGGCCCCGCAAAGGCAGCGGAGACCGCGCCATAGCATGGCACGCGGGGAGTTTTTGTAGGAAAATTCGGCAGACTGCGGGGCAGCTAAAGGGAGCCCAAGCTCGCATTCCCAGCGGTGCTGCTCCGTCATGATGGGTGCCACAAGGCAGGAGAAGAATCCTTGAGGACCAAAGGAACCCTAAGCTTGGAGAGTCATATACCCTGTACTACTGTAACCCCTCATTTCTAAGGCATATTATGGACCCTGTACTACTGTAATCCCTCATTTCTAAGGCATATGATGGACCATAAAACCCTTTTAGGGCTCACTTTGGTCCCCTGGGATGGCTTCAGACTTCCGATGCGCCACGAGGTTTTCACATTGCCATTGACAGGGCGAAGGCTCTAACACAAACGAGAAGGTTTGCAGCCGGCCGCCTCTTGACCTTACAGTGAGCCTCAATAATGATGCTGTTGGTTGTTACTTGCTACATGATGGCGTTGATGGTTGTTGCTGATTTGTAGTGCTTGCTGTTGCATGGTGCAGCTCATTTGTTGCCACTGCGATTGTCTCGACCATATAGCCGTTGCTGCTGCTGCTGTTGTTTATGGTGCTGGTGTCGGTTCGGTGTTCTTGGTGTTCTTGTTGTTCTTCTTGTTGTTGATGTTGCTGTTGCTGTCGCTGTCGCTGTTGTTGTTGCTGTTGCTGTTGCTGTCGCTGTCGCTGTCGCTGTCGCTGTCGCTGTCGCTGTCGCTGTCGCTGTCGCTGTCGCTGTCGCTGTGGCTGTGGCTGTCGCTGTCGCTGTCGCTGCCGCTGCCGCTGCCGCTGCCGCTGCTGCTGCCGCTGCTGCTGCTGCTGCTGCTGCTGCTGCTGCTGCTGCTGCTGCTGCTGCTGCTGCTGCTGCTGCTGCTGCTGCTGCTGCTGCTGCTGCTGCTGCTGCTGTGCTGCTGTTGTTGTTGTGTTGTTGTTGTTGTTGTTGTTGTTGTTGTTGTTGTTGTTGTTGTTGTTGTTGTTGTTGTTGTTGTTGTTGTTGTTGTTGTTGTTGTTGTTGTTGTTGTTGTTGTTGCTGCTGTTGCCTCTGCTGCCGCCGCTGCTGATGCTGCTGTGTGTTTTGCTCTTCCTGTCTTTCTTCAGGGCTCTACTTCGTCCAGGTCTCTTGGAGGGCCTCAACTTCTGCACTTCGTTGTTGGCAGGGCCGAAACCTTGGGGCAGAGGTGGGGCTGCCCGGCCTCGAAAACCTTGTTCTAGTCTAGAGCAACTTGCAGCCGTATCCCTAAACCCTAAACCCTAAACCCTAAACCCTAAACCGCTGCAAGGCTGTAGATCCGATAGTTCGTGAAAATTGTGCCTTGATGGCTTGAGCTCTGCGATGCTCACTAAGTCACTACCTTAAGAACCCAAAGCCCTTTTTGTTCTCCTGTAAGGGGCTTTACAAATACGAGTCTAAAAAACAGTAGGTGTTGGGTTCTTGAGGGATTAAAAAGTCGCTCTCAAGCATTCAGACACCTCCGGGGCTTGTGCCGGATCAGTCGTTGAGAACTCCGGCCGTTCTGCAGGAAGTCCTGGGGGCCGCCAGCTGCTACTTAGGGTTTTTTTGGGTTTAGGTCTAGCGTTTGGGGTCTATAGTGTCTAGGGTCTTTAGAGTTTCGGTCGAGGGGGGTTTGGGGTTTCTGCTCTAAAGGCTCTGAACCCGGCTGAGCTTATAAGAAAAGGTCCTCGCGACTGACCAGGCAGCCACGCCGCTTCAAATCCTGGATCAAGTCGTAGTAGTCCTGTTCAGGGGGGGCTCGGGAGTTGTTTTCCGCAGCTTCTGCAGAGTTTAGGGTTTAGGGTTTAGGGTTTGGGGTTTAGGGTTTAGGACCACACGGAAGAGAAGAACAAGCTCTGCGGGGAAACATGTTCTGTTTGCTCAGCCAACCTCTCCCGCAGGAATACATACAGTTGACTGATGCTGCAACGAAGCGATGCCGAACTCAACTAGCAGAGTGGACGGGCACCCAGAAGACCGAGAACTTGTTAATCCAACGTCTCAGCACAACAAAACATATGCTTGATCGTGAAAACCCTATATGCAAACCCTACAAACCCCATAACCCCTGCTGAAACACCCTATCAAATAAACCCCTAAAACCCAAAAATCCGTATAAACCCTCTAAACCCACTTAACCCTACAGTATAAACCCTGTAAACCCTACATCTTTTACCCTAAAGCCTGCTAAGCCTGATACCCCGATAACCCTGATAACCCTAAACCCTGAAAACCCCCGTAAACCCTGACAACCCTAATAACCCGACTAAACCCTAAGCCGACAAACCCCCCCCCCCCCCCCCAAACCCTGATATCCCTGATTTAGCCGAAACCCCAAACCCTAAACCCTAAACCCTAAATCCTAAACCCTAAACCCTAAACCCTAAACCCTAAACCCCAAACCCGAAAAGACAGTCCTTGGATCCATTGCTCAGAACCTCCGAGTTGCCAATGCAGACCAGGCCATATTTGGCACGGGTGAGGGCCACGTTGAGCAGCCGGCCTTGTTTCATTTTTTTTTTTTTTGGGGGGGGGGTTTAGGGTTTAGGATTTAGGGTTTAGGGTTGGGACGGAACAAGAAGAGCAGGAGGCAGCGCAGCAGCAGCAAGTGAAACATGTCAATTGCTCCGCTGTTTCCCAACATGTCATCTGTAGAGCTAAGCCTTCAACACTAGTTGTTCTTGCTGCTGCTTCTCTTGAGTCTGCCCCCACCAGCAGCAACAATAAGTATGTTCTACTGCTACTATATAGGCATAAGAGAAGCAACGGCAACAAAAGCCGAGAAGCCCCCAAGCCGAAAAGCCAGAAAGGCCCAAAGCCAGGAAACCAAGACGCCAGGAACCCGCTCAGCCGCAGCGCCCCCCCCCCTTCAAAAAAAACAATATATATATATATATATATATATAATAATCATAAAATATAATAATCATGATAATAATAATATATAATCATATATAATAATAATAAACGTAAAACAAACATAATAATAATCATAATAACAATAACAATAAACCTGGAGAAAGTACAACACACAAACTTGAGGGCAACAAAGAAACAACAACTTAAGGTCAAAGATTATGCAAAGCACAACAACACAAGCTCAACCGCAACAAAAGTCTACACATTGTGAGTCCCGCTTCCTGACATCCTCAGCTGTCCCCCCCAAAGCGCAAACGAGATGCTGTCTTCTAAGATGCCGAGTCTTGTTTTTCGCATCTCCCTCAAGGCAAGCGAGTCTCCCATGGAGGTGGCCTGCTTTTTGGGGGGATCTCGGATTCTTCTGAGAGGTTTGGGACGTTGAGCTTCGGATACATCGACTGATGTTGCGAAGCAACCCATCTGGGCTTTGGACGATGCAACCCTCAGCAAAACCTGACCCAATGATTTAGGGAATGCCGCACCTCCTCGGATGGAGCGATGTCCTGCAAGCATTCGTCTCTGCTGTTGTCGTGTAGCTACACAGGCAGAAGAGGCGCTGACCCGGTTACGCCCTAGAAGTCCTGCACATCATCGGAGATGCTGCGCACGAAGCTGATAATGATGAACTCGCGTTCTGAGCCCTGCAAGGAGTGGACGGTGCCCACCAGTATGTGCTTGGAGCCTGCCAGGGCCAACCCAACATCTCCCAACATGCCGATTAGATTATTCTCATGGTGGCTTGCCCTACAACTATCCTTGAGCTGTCAGGCATGCGCATGCTTTACATTGCTGCGTTCCGCGCCTGGGATGTCCTTTTGCAACCTGCCACGGATCTCGTACTGCTGGGCCCGATATGGCGTGATGATGGCGATGTCCCTCGCTTCACAGCGCCCTTGCTTGAGAAGTAGGGAACACAGCCCTGCAGCAACCTTGGCCTCGCCAACGTTCTTGAGCGAAGTCTTGTTCTCAGTAAGGGCTGCGTCGCATGTCCGAGTGAGCTCAGGCGACAGACCCATCGACTGCGGCGTTCGGCAGTCGATGAACCGCCTATGCTCTTTCGCCTCCGGCCAGATGCGATTCCTTAGCTTGTCATGCAAATTCCTGGGCTCAGAGACATAGCAACCTCTGCCGCGTCTTAAGTACTACAGGGTGCTACAGCCCCAGGAAATACCCCTATTTTGTTCTAGACCCTGGAGAAACAGTATATATAAATATATATGTACTTTTAGGTATAAGTGGCTATAGTGGGAACCCAGAACCAAAAAATGTTAAGGTATAATAGTACTCCCAAAGACAAAAAAATGCAAGGGCATGAAAAGCGTCAGCTCAGGGCGGTGAGGGATGGCCACTCGATCTTCCAGCTTGGAGTCGTAGAACTGCGACGATGGGAAGCTGCGGATGGACGGGTGCATGCGGTACTGCATGTTCAGCATAGTGCTGGCCTCCCACAACTGCTGTTGCGCAAAGAGTAGCCAAGTATCAGCACTTGTCTCTGACTGCCTCAATATGTACTGAAGCAGTCAATAGGTCTGCCCTAAACCCTAAACCCCAAACTCGCTAAATCGCTGTAAACCCACGACGCGCCTCCCAGCGGCGTGGGTTCTTGAGCATGCGCTCTAGGAATGGCATCTTCAGGATGTTGACGTAAGGCGAGCACAAGTTCCGCTCTGGCACCACGGGTCCAAGCTGCTTGTGGTCACCTGCACGGTGAATAACTAACTGTGAGAATGAAGACATATGTAAGCAACAAACAACAAATAGATCGCAAGTAGACACATGTAAATATAAATCAGTTAGTACATACACACACATATAAATAGATATATATATATATATATATATTAATTTATGTAATAATCTACTCCAACTTCAAACCCAAGCTTGGGAAGGCTCGCGCCTACGACCACGACCCGAGTTGTAGCGCAGGCCGACGGCAGCACAACATCAGGCTCTGGGGCCTGGGCAGCCTCGTCTATGACGATGGTGTCGAACTTCACTGGTCGGAGAATTTGCTGCTTCTCTTCTTGCATCAAAGCGGAGTGCAGGTAGGCATTCGCACAAGTAGTAATCACAATCTTGCTCTGATTGAGGACTCTTGTCTCTGCTTCCACGTATGCCTTGTCATAGGCTTTTTGGTGGCCGTGCGCCGGCGGGGCCATCCTCAATTGACTCGTGCCGTGCACCTTCCAGTGCAGCGAATGCTCTTCCAAATGAGGCTGAATCTCGAAGGAATACTCCGCCTTCCACGCGCCACCTGAGGGACTGTCTACTCGATATAAACTGCGAGCACTCCTTCTCCTACTGCTCTCAGCAGGGACTAATCACTTTCTAGTTTTTTCCCGAGGGCTCGTCCATTTCAAAACGGCCGCCTTTGTACAGGCTGCCGTAAGCCCGCTCAATGAATCTGGAGTAGACGCGAGTGATCAAGTGAGCCGGAACATCCGTGTCACTGACTAATCTGTCCAGAACGTGGTCTGCCGCATGGTTGGAAGGTGCGCACACCTGATACAAACGGAAGCATCACAAAAGTATACTGCAGAATGCGAACTTGATTCACAAGAACCTCTTGATTCCCCGCAGGGCCTACAAAATCTTGCCTGGATGCTTCTAGAATATCACGCCCAAAACGATCCAACTTACCCATCGCGGCCTACGAAAGGCTTAACGTGTGCAGCGCACAACACGGCTGTGTTATGCGGAAGGGCGGTGCCGCGTCCACGAGCATATGGCCCTCTAGAACCCCCCCCCCCCCCCCCCCCCTACACGCTGCGAAGTCGCGGAAGTGGGCCACGGCTCAACGTCTAGCGCAGCATATCACCCTACACGCTGAACATCCCTGAACACCTCTTGAGGCAGTCGCTGCCACCTGAAGAACTGGGCCTGTGGACTCCATCCCTCGAGGTCTGGAGGCAAAAATATGCGTATATGTATATGTAAGTGTATAAATAAATATAAATATAAAAAATAAATAAATATATATATATATATGCATATTATATGGGTGGTTGTCAAAATTACGGTCCCTTATTTGGATCCCTATTATAATACGGCACCTAGTATTTAGGGTCCCCCAAAAAGGGATCATTTTTTTGACAGCCACCCATATAATATACAATGTGGATATACACAGTTCATTTACAATTAATATACAGACTCGAACCAGTTTGGCAACTCCCGCCAGGACCCTGCCAAAATCGGGTCGAGCGCGGCGGTCACGCACAGAGAGTGCAGCCACGATGAACTGCCTAAGATGATGACAGGCTTCATGGGCTTGAGCGACATGCTTGTTACTGACTTTAAGATTTAGGGTTTGGGGTTTAGGGTTTAGGGTTCAGGGTGAGGCAGCACTCGTTCGTGGCATCATTCCGCGCGCACACGCTGGAAGCCCAGGCAAGTTGCCTGGGACGCTGCCGCATCCGCAGCTTACTTCTAGGAAGAGACGATGAAAACGCGTCTTAGATGCAGGAAGCAGAAGACAAGAAGAGTAGTCTTCCAGGCTGGGCGATTATACCCGACAACCCCTGAGAACCGCCCTTTACAGGGTTGATTATGGGGATGATGAAGCCTAGAACCCCATCCTGGTCCTCCTGTATTCCGGTAAAACTCGTGCTTCTGGCAACCTCATGCGAGGATGTAGCTTGGCTGGGACACTGCTTGAATCATCCTTGCTAATTTCCTTCTTATTGCAGGGAATCGCGGATTCAAACGCCCGATATGGGTCAAGCTGCAATTCAATGCTCACATGCGCCTGCGCGGGTTTGGGCAACGACTAGTGGGCTCAATCTGCGCACGGTGAAAATTTTACGACAAAATTTGGCTGTTTGAGGGGAAGCCTGTGAGCCCGGGGGCTGACAGAATCACTGCTGCACTTCGTCTAGCTCCGTAGCTTGAATGTCAGCGTGATGTACAGTGTTTTTTTCCCACCCGTGTCGCAAGCGTTTACGTGTACAGTGGGTTTAGGGCGTTAAGCACCACGCATTGTCGCTTTGAAAAGGTATGGCAGATGGGTGGAGACAGGAGTGCAAAGCAGGCTCACAAGACAGCACCCGTGGATCTCCGAGACCCAAGAGTAACCACAGGAATACAACAGGGTGCCCTTTCAACAACATAAGGGAACCTGGGCAGTAAGGGCCTACTCTGCATCTTATTAGTCCCCAACCCCCTAGGGCCCTGCGGTATTGAAGTGGCCCAGATGCACAAGGAACGATGTCTTGCCAGTTCCCGGAGGGCCCTGGACCATCGAGAAGGGCCGCTGCAGCCCACGCCTTGCAGCAGCTTGCGTAGCGGGAGGTTGTAGGCGTGTCACGCTCTAGGGATCTGGGTCTGATGAAGGTTTGAGGCTATTCATGACCTGCCCGTATGAAGACAGCGATGCAGTTCTGCGGTAGGGTTCTTTGATATCCGGTTCGGACCTCTTGCACAGTTATCGCTCGATGATAGGGGGTGAGATGGGATCTTACTGATAACATTCCTAGGAATGTCTGGTATTCGAGGCATTAGGTCTGCTTGGAGGCCATTTTGACAAGATGTGGGAGCTGACTCTGAATGTTATGTTAAAAACAACTCAAGGCGAACCATGACGGAGCCCCTTTAAGGTTGACCCCACGTAGACCGCTTTGCAGGACCCAGTACCCTAAGGGTCCATGTACCGAAATAGGGAACACTTGGGGCCCAAAGTCCCTATATAGGAGGTACTTTAAGGCCCAAGTACTCCCTATTTAGGTACATGGACCCTTAGGGGTAAAAGTAGCTCGGAGTGCGATCCAGATGCTGGAGGGCTGCCGTCTGGCGCTCGTTCATGCTGCCGCCGTTCTGCACCTTGGACGCAGAGTCCCGAAGTGCGCCGAAGACCTGTCACAATGATTTCAGTTGCACTTGTGACACATGTGCTGGTCTTGAACTTTACGTCCGCAAGGACTTTTGTTGACGTACGTGTCTTCTTGGAGGATGGATGCATCGGAAACTTCCTTGGCTTTTAAAGATCTGTACTCGCGGCAGGTGAAGCAGCAGCCTTATTGCAGTTATTCTTGCGGTGGTGGTAGGAGCAGGAGTAGGAGTAGGAGGAGGAGCTTGGAGGAGTAGTAGGAGTAGGAGTAGGAGTAGGAGTAGGAGTAGGAGTAGGAGTAGGAGTAGGAGTAGTAGTAGTAGTAGTAGTAGTAGTAGTAGTAGTAGTAGTAGTAGTAGTAGTAGTAGTAGTAGTAGGAGTAGGAGTAGGGAGTAGTAGTAGTAGTAGTAGTAGTAGTAGTAGTAGTAGTAGTAGTAGTAGGAGGAGGAAGAACCGTGAACATCATCACAGTCACCAGTAATTCGTAGTGGCAGATGTACTGCAGTCCTTGTAGCAGTCATGGCACTACGTAGTAGCTATAATTGCTAGGAGTAGCAGCAGCAAGAGCAGCAGTATGTCCCTGGGGCGAGATTCGCCTGCTCCCTTGTCGTCAGGGGTCTCATCTCGGCTGCTGTCTGCTGCTGCCTTAGCAGTCTCTTTAAGATGATCAACTTCTTTGAGCAGCATTGGGCTGCTAGCTAGGACGACAGAACGACTGCTCACCTCCTCCTCCTCCTCCTGCTGCTGCTACTTCTCCGACTATATATTGCGAGTGTTTCAGAACGTTTTCAGCTGACGTGAACTCTGGGTTCGTCTTAGTCAGCCCAAGCAGCTTGGTCGTACGTGGCATGGTCAAGCGCATGCCCTGGAGTGGAGGAGAGCCTCGTCTTCAGGTCACCGCTTGAAGTTGTGGTCAGCAGCTAAGACGAAGGATGACACTCACAACTGCCGCAGCATGAGTCGTAGCAGATCAAACCCGTGAGCAGGCTGGTGGTATCAAGGGGCCAGCCCAGAGCCTGATTGCTTTGACAAACTCGTCCTTCGTGTCAATGAGGCGTGCCGGAGTGGCGTGAAATGGAGGGGAAAGATGATGTCAGCGGGAAGAGAAGCAGACTTAGCATGAGCTGCACGAATAATATGCAGCTTGCGCACTTTTCTGCCAACTGCAAGTCGCAGTATCCCCTCGGCTCCCAAGAGGGCGCCTTCTCTTAGCAACAATGGGTTAATGGGAGGGGGAAGGGGGAGGGGGATACTTAAACTAGTCTTAAACTAGATCGCTGTCTAAAGCAGCAGAGATGCTTGGAAGCGCCTGCAGCAGTTGAATGCTTTTCTTCTCGTTCGGTGGCACCTGAGTTGCGCTGGCAATCTCTTGCCCGCCTGCTCCCACAAGGTTCAAAACCAAATTGCAATGATTCTTCAAGTCTTTCCTGGATTCTTCGTAGTGAGCAAGGCAGAAGCAAGCAGCTTATCGAGACTGCAATCTGAGAGTGCATGTGAGGGTTTGAAGCTCAAAGTCGAAACTCTTTTCAGCTGTCGGCACCAGGATGAAGTATAGGTGGAAAGCCGTCGCTGCCTTTACCGTGGCTTCCTGGCTCTCCTTTGCAAACCTCGATGGGTCTCGGTGGTCTCGGGACCATCTTAGGGGCTTTGTTTTGCACAGCTGGAAGTATTCAACCCGCTAACCTGACTGAACCATGCAATGGGGACCACATGAACCCTACAATTCAATTCATATACCCTATATTACTAAAATTCCTATTAAGGTATTTGAGCCATAAACCCTTTTAGGGTTCATTTCGTCCCCAAGGTGACAGAACGAAAGCTGCCAACAGCGCCGTAGCAACTGGGAGACTTCAGACAGCTCGATCTCCACAGTGTACCACTTCTGCCCGACAAGATTCACGCGGCCATTTTTCTCCTCCTTGACCTTCTGCAATGCAGGGCTGTACAGCTGCTGAACTCTTGCATGCTTGGGTGTGATTGATGGACATCAACTGCCTATATGTCCAGCAGCAAACCTGCTGCTGCAAACTCGGAGACAAGGCAGTTAGAGCTCACACCAAACTACTCCCAAAGAGCCAAATATCCCTTAACTAAGGAATATACCCTTAAGTCATATTAGGGACCGCTGTATAAATTATAAGGTACCTTAATTAAGGGATATTGGGCTCTTTGGGCGCTCTCACAGCCTTGCAGAGGCAGCCCTGCAAGAAGACCACCGCGTCGCCCTGCTCGCAGCTGAGGACAGCTAGGTCTCCGGGTTGGACCCGCTGGTACTCGCACAGCTGGATGTTCACCTACACGAGGAAAATGGGGGGGGGGGGGGGGAGGGTTTCGGAAATTAGGGGCTACCTTATTGGGGTCCTTAAGATAAGGGAATACTACTATTTTGGGGGCTAGATTGGGGGATCCCTTATTTTCGTTCGCTTTGGGTGTGGGCAGTGTGAGGGTGCCTTCTTTGAGCTTGTCTGAGGCGTGATGGTGCAGTGAGCAGTTAGGGTTTAGGGTTTAGGGTTGAGGTGTTTTTTTTCCAACCCGACTGGCCAGCAGCAATGCGGGGTCATCTCGGGTTTAGGGTTTTTTTCCCACCCGTTTCGCAAGCGTTTACGGGGAAGAGGTCAGGCCTAGTTACCGCCAAAATTCAGGTTGAAAAGGTTGCTAGTCCTTTGCCGGAGCCCCAAGATGGCCTTCAGAGCTTACCGTACCCACTAACAGCCGAAGCAACACCATAAAAACCACCAAGCACGTACAACCCCAGGAAATCAATGAACCAACCCCGAAGCCACCATCCCCGGACTCCCAAAGTTCGAAGGTCAGAACCCTGCCCCCCCAGCGCACCTGTCCGAGTGGCACGTAGGCCAGAATGCAGCAAAGCAGGATTGACTGAAAAGGGATCGGTTACTTGAAGGAGGAGGAGATGCACGCACTCGGACAGGCTCACTATCCTGGAAACGATGTACAATGGGGGCGACAGAGCTTTATATCCCCGGTCCTGCAGTGTTGCGGTTCAGTCGACTCAGATTACGCTCACCCTTCATCAACAGAGTACTACCGCAGATACGTCTCCCGGGGATACATTCACGCTGCAGACTCGCCAATGGCATCCACTTCGCTGGATCAGAATTACCAGGGCTTCAAATGGGTCTGTTTGTTCCTAGAGCCTGGCCTGTTTCAAATGGCTTTATAGCTCACAGGAACCTGGGAGTTGCTTCCAGTGTGCATTTCCCCTGCTTGGTCCTAGAAACCCTGTAGGTTTAGCGAGCTGTTCACTTGTCGCTGCTCACCTGTCGCAACTCCCTGTGCAGTGAGGTGTTGTCTTGCCATGAGACTACCCTTTAGGCATAAAGTTAGGTCTAGGCGCGCCTGTGGCACCTGGCATGGGTAGTGGTTAGGGTTCTCTCATTTGGCATGGACACCGTCTTGAAAGGCTTCTAGGCTCTCTTCTTGGAGTCCTAAGTGTGTTTCTTCGCATCCGAGATCATTGTCTCTTCGATGGTTCTCAAGGGGGATGGAAGCTGAAGAGGGATTCACTATTTATGGGCACGCCTGTGGCCAGTGATTAGGGAATATGTCCCCTTCCTGGCTTCCTTCCCGCAGGACCTTCTAGCTTCCCACATGGCAGCCATGCATGAATTCTTGAATTCTCGAATTCTGAATTCTCAAACTGGAACATGATTCTGCAACATGCTTCGTGCAACCCCTTGTAGTCTTACTGCCGTAGTACACAGAATTACCCAGCTTATCTGCTTAGATGCCGCGAACTGCATCATGCAAGTTCACTGAAGTTCAAAGGGTCGCATCCAGAAAGGTCGTCAGCACGGATTCGGCATCATGCAGTGAGGCTCAGTCAGCTTAAATTCACGGTTTAGGGTTTAGGGTTTAGGGTTTTGGGTTTAGGGTGCAGAAGAAGCAGAATGGCTTGCTACTTCAGAGGCATCGGCGAGAATGCAAGAGAAGCGCACCTGGCACTGGAAGTACCACTTGCAGCCTTCCTTCCACCACCTGCGTCTGCAAGCCAAAGCACGGGAGCCGCTGGGCTTTTTAAGAACTTAAGCTCTTTCACGCTCGTTTGCTGGAGACTGTGCCCATGTCAGGCGCAAACAATCTTTACAACTTGACACTTTTACACTGAGGCATGTGCCATACATCTGAAGCAATACTGGACGGCGTGTAGGACGCACTGCAGCATGCACCTGCCGTGATTCTGACCGGTGGCCAACAAGCAACTGGGTGCACTGTGCATAAACCATGAACCCAAAGGATCCATGTACCTATATAGTATATACTTGGGCCCTGAAGCTACTATATAGGAACCCCTTTCAGGCCCAAGTATATACTATATAGGTACATGGATCCTTTGGGGAAACTGCCTTGCTTCCTGAAAACAAGGTGCTTATTTCGCTTTCCGGTAGAGAAGAGCCCTCGCGCCTGGGAGGACTTCACCCGGGCCCAGAGCTTCGAATAAACCTCAACCCGTCGGTCCAGCAACGCCCAGTCGCTGAGGTCCGGCCACGAGGAGAACATCTCTGGGAACCTGAGACTACCATTAGCTTAAGAACCCCTTAATTAGGAAGAATATTTATCATTTTTTTGGGGTGCCTAGGCAATTAGTAGGAAAGGGAAGCCCGGGGGCGATGGCTCTGTTTGTTGCTGGAGGGATTTCTGTTTGGGGGAGGGGCTCTCGGGATCAGGCTCGATTGCGTGTTGCTGTTGTATGAGCCGAGGGGCATCTTCTGGCCCACGGCAAAGGAAATCTCGGTTTCCAGGTCCTCGTGGAAAGTGAGCTCGCTCACAACAATCGAGTTCGGACTGGCATGGTGCGGAATGGGCTGCGCGAAGTTGCGAGACAGGGTGCACGTGATCATGGGGGCGTACCAGGAGGGGATGTGCAGCGTCTGAGGGTCGGAAGAGGAGTTGCTGGACATCGTCAGCTTGATGGACTGCGTGGTGGCGTCGTACTCGGAGATGCAGGTGGAGCTGCACAAGGCGTGGACCGGAATCTTGAGTTCGAGGATGTTGAGACTCGGAGACGGAATCAGGATGTTGATGTAGGTTGGCCCAACTGCCCCGATCACGGCATCGAAGATCCGCTGGCTGTGGTCTGAGAGCTCCCTCATCCAGGAGATCATCCTGCAAATGTAAAGCCCAAACTTCTGCGACTCAGACCTGGCATTGAACCTGGCCACGGACTCTTGAAGCTGCCGGCACGACATCTGCAGGTGCTTGCAAGGGGCTCTGCTCCTCGAGAGGTGGAGCTTCAGGGCCCGCATCCCAAGGATGTCAATGTACCGCTGAAGCGGGGCTGACACGTGGAAGAGCGGCTCCTCAATGGAGGACTCGCAGCATGCACCTGGGAGGTAGACCGACGGATTGCTGGCTCCGAAGATGTCCACCTCGTAGTAGGCATGGGGGAGAACTGCACGCAAACGTCGAAGGAAGGAGCTCTGAAAGCCGTGCCGCACTGCGTAAGAGAGCTCGGGCTGGCAAAGAACCTAGGACGGCCCCTAAAAAACCCCCTGAAAAACACTCCTTAAAAATATGATCCTCTCAAACCCAATAAGAGAAAACATGTAATGTTTCAAGGGCCTACCGAGAAACTTGGCGGAGGGCCGCAAGGATGCTGGAGACTGAGATGGGCTTGTTCCGGTCCTCGGGCCTCACCCTCAGAAGCCGCTCGATGACCTTCCACGTGGAAGGGTCCGGCCGGCCGTGAGAGTGCCTCTGGGGCTACATGAACCCTTTTTAAGGGATGGTAGTAGCATAGGGTATATGACCCCAATTTTACCAGTATAGGGCCTATCATAGGCTTCATTTAAGTCTTCAAAGGTACCTGACGCAGATTGGGGAGGTCGTCTCGTCCGTGACGAGGGCGGACCATGCAGGGCTCCCTTGCAACAGGCGGCCAGCATGCCTGTCCACCATGTGCATGCAAGTCCGCAGGAAGCGGCTGGCTGCAAGTGGAGCATAGCTGTCATCGTCCGTGCCGAAGTCGCCCGCAAAGTCGATGTCAAGGTGCTCCAGAACGGCAAAGCTTGCGGACGAGACTTGCGAATCCTCGAACTTCTCCGTGAAGCCCGCCCAGCGGCGAAGCAAGCTTCCCACCTCGCCTCCATTCTTCTTGCCGAGCAGCATCAAACCTGCACTCTGTGGGTTGAGGAGGCGGTCGCACCGGACGACAGACTCCGTGACGCACACGCTCTGAGGGTCCAACTCCCGGTTCGTCACGCGCGGGAAGGTGAAGGTCAGTGCCAATCGCTCTGAGCCCTCCCTGAAGCTGAGCTCCTTCTCGATGTCTGGCGGGAAGAGTGGGAGGTTGGCTTCCAAGGGCATGTCCTTGTGATTCAAACCCTAAACCCTAAACCCTAAACCCTAAACCCTAAACCCTAAACCCTAAACCCTAAACCCTAAACCCTAAACCCTAAACCCTAAACCCTAAACCCTAAACCCATGTCCTTGTGATCCAAGAACCAAGCTCCCACCGAACGGCGGCGGACCAGGTCCTCCAGAGACTCCAGGCCCAGCTGGTCCAGGTAGGCGTTCACATCCAGGATGTGCACTTGCAGACCTTCCTCGGGGGACCAAAAATGAACCTCAAAATTGGGGCCACATACTACTACAATTCTTATAAAAAGGTATATGAACCTTAAAACTGAAACAATTATACCCTCTACTACTATAATTCTTATTACTAAAAATTATAAGAGATATGAACCATAAGCCCTTTTGGGGTTCGCTTGGTCCCCAAGGTTCGGCCGGCTCGTAGGACACCACCATGCTCGTTGGCAGGCTCGGATGTTGGATGCCGACCGTCAGGTGCCCGCGGCGATCTGCCCGCATGGATCCATCGGGTTGTGGAAACCTTGGGGACGAATTATGAACCCTAAAAGGGTTTATGGTTCATATGCCATATACCTTCATAAGAATTATAGTAGTACAGGGTATACGACCCCAATGTTAAGGTCCGTTTGCTCCCCAAGGAAGTGCCATATACCATATACCTTAATAAGAAATTATGGTAGCATAGGGAAAACGACCCCAAGGTTCAGGTCCAAGGAACTGTCCAGGGGCGAAGAGGTCCATGTTCCGCCTTGTGTCCCCCCTCTTCCAATCAGTGAAGTTGAGGGAAATCTGGACTGCCTCTAAGATGGAGGCATCGGTGTTGCGTGACCTTGGCTGACTTCTGAACCCCTCCTAAAGTTTAACTCTTAGGCTCCTTACTGTCAACAACCGAAAAAGTTCAAGTCCCAAGAGCCAGCCAGAAGAAAGCCAAGTGACTGCATCCGCAAACTCTGGACATAACGGCCTCGTGGACGGCGATCAGGAGCGCCAAAAGCAGGACTCCACTCAGTCACTTCCACCACGTGCAAGTCGTGGCTGCTGGGAAGGTCCAGGGCTTCATTCCAACGCACGTGAATGCCAGGTAGCTTGCCATTGATGGGCTGGAAGGGCACGAACTTCTTAGAGCGAACCACCTTGGACCTCAAGCAGACGAAGTGCTTCTGCCGGCTTGCCCCGAACTCCTTTGCCAAAAGGACGCGTCCCAGAAGCTCCGTCCTGCCGAGATCTGCAACAGATTCGCACAGGCCGCGCACGTTAGAGGCTTCGCATTAAATTTCCAGAACCCTAAACCCTATACAAGGCTCAGAGCCTTTTCGATAAGTCGAGATCGGCCCCTATACGTATCCCCTCTATTTCAGTCCTTCCACAATCCAAGGTGTGCGTCTGGGTCGGAGTCACTGGCGACCTCCGAACGCCGCTCTCTGCTGAGAAGGCCCGGGCCTGGGTTCTCCAGCGAAGGCTTAGGGTTTAGGGTTTAGGGTTTAGGGTTTAGGGTTTAGGGTTTAGGGTTTAGGGTTTAGGGTTTAGGGTTTAGGGTTTCGGGTTTAGGGCAAACAGAATCAGGGGTTCTAGATGATTCTAGGGGTTAGGCCTGCTTTTCTCGATTCGTGCCCTGTCATGCTTTTCTGGGGTTTGTGCTTAAAGGCTTTTCTTGCCACCCTTGTTTAAAGGATTCGGGCTTAGGGCTTATAGGGTGTAGGAGTATAGAGCTAGCGGCTCCACAAGGGGATTGAAGGGCTCAGGGCTCCTGAGCAGCTAAGCCGCTACGCTTCTGTTCTCTCCGCGCCCTAAACCCTAAACCCTAAACCCTAAACCCTAAACCCTAAACCCTAAACCCTAAACCCTAAACCCTAAACCCTAAACCCTAAACCCTAAACCCTAAACCCTAAACCCTAAACCCTAAACCCTAAACCCTAAACCCTATGAACTGTGCTCAGGCTGCGGCAAAGAGGATGCGGACGTAGCAGCGGTCAGAGTCCCACGTCTGCCCCCGGTTTTTGCCCGCGAGGATGTGGACCTGGTCTCTGCGCTTCGGACTTTTGCACTCGGAAGCCTCGTTGCTAGATGTACATATGTAGATGTATTCCTAAACCCCAAACAGCCGATGCATTAAATGTAAACCCTGCACCCTAAACCCTAAACCCTAAACCCCATGAATGCCACTAATGCCACCTTGCAGTGTCGCAGGCAGGCGGGGCCACGCTCCACAATCACCTGCCAGTGCGAAGGAAGGGCAGAGGTTCCGTAAGGGGAGCAGTTTTGAAGAAGTGGAATCGGAGTGCTTTTGAAGAGGGCTAGTGTTGGTTTGAAAGACCGGTCGATTTAACTTAACTTGATGTGTGCAGCACTTGGGTGCTACAGAACTAGTCAGTGCCCCTGCGTAGCCCACCACGCCCATTCTGAAATTGCAGAAGCAAGACAAATTAAATATCATTGACTATATGTCAGCCACGAATAAATCTATGTAGTTCCAAGCACTTTAGCCCATGTGTCCCACAACAAACTGCGCAACCCCTGGCACCTCTCCACAACGCTTCTGCTGCTGCCCATCGTTGCCACCAGAGACGCAGCGAAATGTCCCATAGATAAGGACATTCATCCTTAGCAGCCGAAGGAAACGCAGAGCACTTTAGGACCTTAAATTGGGTTGAAGTTGGAGTATCATAGCATCCGGTGAATGTAAGCAGAATGTGACTTGCAACACAGCCGGCGGGCTCCTGGTACTGGAAACAAAATCATGCAGTGTATGTATCTATATGTATATATATATATATGTATTCACTATCTCATCCTCCGTCTCTCTCTCTCTCTCTCTCGCTCTCTTTTTTCTTCTCTCCACGGAAATGCAAAAACCAAAGAACGGACAAGGCGCAGGTTCTTCAGGGACTCGAAGTCGTCTGGCTGCCGCTCCAGCTCTGCCTCCAAATCGGCCTCACGGCTTTCGGGCGCACAGGAAGAAGCAACATCGTTGAACAGGGCGTCCATCTCCTCCTCGTCGGACACCTCCGACGCAGTACTCTGCTTTCGCCAGCAGCAGCTGCTCCTTGAGGGCCTTGAGGTCTGGGGTCTGAGGGAAGTCCAGGCCGTTCCAACCAAACTCTGCAAGCACTTTGCGGACATGCGCCGTGCCCGTAGTCTGCTGCAGGGCCTTCTGCAAGTCCCGCTTCTGCTCTGCGGGGTTGGTCGTGGCTGTAGCCGCCTCCACAGCCTGAATGGCAGAATCTAGGCCGCGAGCAACGTCTTCGTCTTCAGAGCCGCCGGGCTCATCCCAGGGCATGGCAGGCTCATGTGGAACCGCTTGCCGACGGCGAGTGGACGCAGAGCCTTTGTCCAAACACGGCGGCAGCTGTTGATCGCACCGGTGGCGCTTCTGACGGTGTGCGTTGCTCGCCCTCTGGTGCGACGGGCACGAAGGGCACCGTGGCCTGGACCAAGGTCAAGTCCTTGCTGCGGATGCGGTCAGCGCCAACCCATTCGTCCTCCTGCGGGGAGTAGCCGTTGTAACGTACATGGACTGGTGCGTTTGATCTGCCTTTGCTGTGCGAGATCTCCAGGACTGTGCAATAATACTGGGTTCCGTCTGACAGCACCGCTAACTTCACCCCAGCTCGCAGGTTTGAATAATCAGGCACGCGCAGGTTCCCCGCACCAAGCCAGGATGAGCGAATCGTGGCACCGTAGAGGCGCACTTTCACAGGCGCTGCTGCTCTCTGAGCGTCTGGTGATATGAGCAGCACCTCACCATATGTCGAGGAATGTGCATCATAGACTAGCATCCCCGCCTGAAGCTCTACATGTCCCGGAGACGCAGCTTTCATGACAGGACCAGTCTCACCAGAGTTCTCGATGGGCACCGTTGGCATAAGCGGTCGAACGAACGTCAAAGCCTTGCTGACCAAGCGATCTGCGCCTACCCACTCGTCCTCATCTGCCGAGTAGCCGTTGTAATGAATGCGAATGGGTGTGGCGGGTCTCTCAGAACAATTCTGCATAACGGTAGCCAGGTACGTCTTGCTCTCGCACTTCACCTGTACCCGCAAGCCAAGTTCAAGGGCGGAGAAGTCGGGTATCTGCAAATCCTCGGCATGGAACCATGCTGCCTCCTGTGAGTTGAGCCATACTTTCACAGGCGCCGATGCCCGCTTTGGTGCAGAGGAGACCTCCAGCACTTCCCCACATTTCGAAGCTCTCGAAGATTCGGACATTACACAGACCACCAACCCAGGCTGCAGCGTTCGAGGTCTGGGAAGCTTCAGCTTGCCATCGCTGCTGTCAGCAGTGGGCTCGGCAGCCTGATTGGTTGGACAGGTTGTGGCATCGTTTGTGGCCATGTGGGGGAAGGATGCAGGCAGCTGCGCTTGAGCGAAAGTCAAAGCCCTACTCCGAAGCCGGTCTGCGCCAACCCATTCATCATCCTCTGAGCCGTACCCGCAATAATGCACCAGGACAGGCTCCTTGGGCCTGTCACGTGAGATGGTCAAAACTCTGCAGTCGTGCATCATTTGGCCATCGGGCGTAACTGCCACTTGCAAGCCCTTGTGCAATCCTGAGTAGTCTGGCACTTGAAGGTCCTGTGCGGCGAACCAGCCCGTCCCAGAATCTGCAGTGAGGTATTGCACCTCCACTGGCGCTGCTGATCGGTCTGCAGAGACAGACATTTGCAGGACTTCGGCATGCTTCAAAAACCCTTCTTGGCACTGGAAGCAGACCCGCATCCCACGTTGCAACGTCACTGCTCCAGGCTTCGGACTTGTCGGATGTTTCGGGCCTGCCTCAGAATCGCCTGGACCTGGAATGGCAGCAGGTGGCAGTAGGGCCGGAACAAACTTCAGAGCCTTTGTGCGCAGGCGGTCCGCCCCAACCCATTCATCTTCCTCAGGCTGTCGGCCGTTGAAACGCACCTGGACCCGGGCAAATGCTGACGTGTCCTTGGACAGATGCCTGACCTTGCATGAAAAAGCGACACCTTCGCGGGTCACACTGACCTCTTGGCCCGGCTGCAAAGCTGAGTAGTCCGGTATCTGAAGTTCACTCACATTGACCCATCGAGTCTCACCCTTGGTTTCTCCACATCGCACTTGGACAGGTGCAGCAGCTCTTGTAGGAGAACTGGAGATGCTAAGCACTGAACAAGGAGCCATTGAGTTTTTGCTCTCAAAGTAGGCCACCATGCCAACCTGCAGTACTGCGCTCTCTGACTGCAAAGCTTCGCCACAGTCCTTCTCGCACACACGGCTTGATGCAAGTTGAGCCTGCGAAGTTGGGGCAGTCAGTGAGTTTGAAGGTGACGTGGCCCTTCTCTCGTAGTGCAAGAATTTACAGTGGGTTCCATACCCGCAGGGCATGCCCGGCACATCCTGATGCACGAAGAGTTTTTTTCCGAGCTTGTGATCTCGGTTGTAGTGGCATTTGCCCTCGAGCCATAGGCAGCACACAAAGGTGGGCATGGGCGGCTCAGCAACACCACTCGAACTTGCAGGTGCCGCAGCAGTCCTTGCCTCCTTTCTTTGGGCCTCAGATGGCACCAAGTCGGGTAAGTCGGGTGCGGTCATGCCCGACTCCATCCTTGGCTGCATGGCTGCGAGCGATCCTTCCATGATGTCAACGCTCCTTCCTTCATGCGAAGGCATCATCGAGCTGCAGCTGCTACTTTGCCTGTGACTTAGTCCGTCCTTGTCGCCGTCGCACCACTCTTGCGCACAGCGGAAGAGCGGCCTGCCCATGTGCCACGCCTCCGGCTTATGCCCGTGCGGCTGGAGCCCCACCCCGTTCACCGAGGTGTCGCGAGCATGGCGCCGGTTGGCAACCTTGGCGTCCATTGGGTCGTAGAGCCGGCAAGGGGCCTTCACGGCCGTGTGCCGCCACCTGACACCAAAAAAAAATATAACGTGCAGAAATCCCGGAAGCACTTTTAGGACCACACGTTGATTCTTTTCGAGAAGTATGCATGTGGACTGCACACCATCCGACAGAAGAGTTCGCCTAAGCCCAAAACCCTACAAACCCTAAAGCCCAAAACCCTACAAACCCTAAACCCTAAACCCCAAACCCTATAAACCCTAAACCCTAATTACTTTGACATCCCCCGGACATGCCCTGGAGGCTGGCGAGCATGGCAGCGCGGCGGTGGCCCCGCACGATGTGCAGCTCGCCGCCCTCCACGATGACGTCCAGGGGCTCGATGTCCTGTTTAGGGTTTAGGGTTTAGGGGTTTGGGGTTTAGGGTTTAGCCTTAAAACCCTGGGTCATCGAACGCAGTGCAGCCCTACTGCTGCAACACCTGCCGCGACACAAACTTCCAAGCGAAAGAAGGCTCCAAGCAGTAGGGTGGGGTGGGTGGGTGAGTGGGTGGGTGGGTGCACTTCTGAGATGTTGCGTTGGAAGAGCCTGATGGGTGCTGCTGGTTGAGAAGTCTGTCGAGCTTGCAAGAAGTTCAAGAAATGTCGTCTGGTACTGCCGTTACAGTACTTGTACAGGTTCTGGCATTACTACTGCTGCTTTTGTCCCGTTAAAACCCTTCTGTGAAAGTCCTCAGGCTTCAGACGGTTGGTGACGAGGTCATGGAAGAGCTCGTACACGGATCGGTCCTAGGACAGGTCCACACGAGGTTGCGAGAGTGGGCCGTTCGGCCCTTTCTGTGCTTGGCTGGAACATGCGAAATTTCGGGGTGGGCGTTGAGATCCACAGAGAGGAGTTCTACAAACGCAGAAGTCCTTGTAGTTTCCGGATGTGAACGTCATCTGAGAATGCACCTGACAAATGCAGATTTAAAATCCAACCCTTTTGCAAGCCTATCTAACTCTGCTAACTGTTATCTCTGCTTATTCTACAAGTCTGCACCTTGTCCTGCACCCAACGCAAGCACCAGATTGGCACCAGCACAACACGTCCGCTGCCAATCTCCTTGATGCGGCCGTGCCTCAGTCAGAAGGAAATGGTGCGGTGGCTTACAGTGCAAGAAATATGCTCATTTCCCAATAAGAGACCCCAAAATGCTTTAATCCATGAGTCCTTCTCATAAAACCCAAGAAAAGAGTGTTCCGGCTCACATGAACAGTTTATGGAGAGACTTCTGGGTTTCCACTACGATGTATTGGTGAAGATGTACGCTCTCTCGTTGTGAAGGGACATCTCTTGCGTCTCAGAAAACATTCTCGCCTAGACTTTGAAAGGTATACTCTACAACAGAAAACCTCAACAGGGACCTAGTGCCAAACAAAAATGCCAAGTTGACGTCTCTCACACCGTGCTGTGTTGAGCTGACGTCCCCTAAACCCTAAACCCTAAACCCTAAACCCAAAAAATGCCAAGAATCTCAAAGTCAAGGACGTCCTCAATGCACGGAACCAGCCCATGCAGTCGTGACGGCACCCCAGATGCAGCAACCTTGGGACCCCCAATGAACCTTAAAATTGGGGTCTTATACCCCATATACTATAATTCTTATTCATGAAGGTCTATGAACCATAATTAGTCACATACCCTATATACTACTCTAATTCTTCTTAAGGTCTATGAACCCATAAACCCTTTTAAGGTTCTCATAATTCGTCCCCCCAAGGAGCTGGCGCTGCCGGACCTGAGGATGCCTCTGGCAAGGGCCTCTTCTTCAAGGCGGCATGGTGCTGTAGGATGGCGCGGCAGTGGACCCTTTTCCTTGGGGACTCCACGAAACCCTAAACCCTAAACCCTAAACCCTAAACCCTTCTGGTACATCTACCATAATATAGGGATTCTAGTAGTTGTAGTATAGGGTGCATGACTCCATGGATTTGGACCCCAAGGTTCACGGACATCTCCTTCAGATCCTGCTCCAAGTCTTTCGCATCTGCTTCGCGCAGGAACCTGAGATTGTAGCCCAACTCCTCGAACTTGTCAGCGTATACCTTGAGGACCAAATGAACCCTCAAAACTGGGGTCATATACCGGCCCTATACTATATAATTCTTATAAAGGTATATATGAAGCATAAGCCTTAAGATTTCGTCCCCAAGGTACTGCCAGATCGGGATCCACAGACGCCAGCCATTCCCGCACGCAAGGCTTCTGCGGCTTCATGGCAACAATGACAGTCTTTCAACGTAGGAATGTCCAGCGCGAGAACAATTCATTGTCATACCCTGACACTCTCCTTGATTTCCTATGCTGCTTGACGTTGTATGGCCTAGCTTTGGTGTTTTGGAGGTCTGCGAACCAAAAACTTCGGATGCAGATGCAACGTCCATTTTAGCCCCGGACCCCCAAAAAAAGTAACTACACAGTCCTTCAAGTCTCTGTGGCTCCGATACAGTGTGCCAACCCTCTGCTTGCTACGTTGCGCGTTGCCTCGACACCTGGCTGTTCTGTGGAAAGCTCCAGGAATGCGGGCAGCTTATGGGGCCACGATTACGTTACCAGCACAGTTTTTCGGCAGGCTATGGAGCCATCGAGGGCTTAGTGGCACACGAAAAAAGGTCGTTACCCAAACATCTGAAAAAATCCTACGAGCGCCAAGGGAGGGGACATACGACAAACCTCTACGACCCGCAGGCCCTCACAGCCCCTTAAAAGAAAGGTCATTTAGGGAAAAACCCAAACATCTGGACGTTACCAGCACTCGGCATGGGGAGGTTTAGGGTTTAGGGTTTAGGGTTTAGGGTTTTTTTTGGCACCCGACTAGCCACAGCAAAGCGGGGTTGATAGGTTTAGGGTTTAGGGTTTAGGGTTTAGGGTTTATCTGCCTCTAAACAGGATAATTTGAGCCTCGAACGAGCCAGACTGCCATGGAGGCTATGGAGACACTGCGCACGCAATGGATCTGCATTACCCGCTGATAGCAAGCATAGAAAGAAAACATCGGGACACCATTCCTCTCTTGGCCTGGGAATCGCCGAGAGGCCCTTGAATCCTCCTGTAACCCCCGCCCCCCCTCACCTCAAGAGCCTCAATAAGTCGTGGGCAACGCTCGAAGACATCTCGATCTTCATGATTGGCGAATTCAAAGCTTGCCGAACAAGTTCGCCAGTTCTATCAACGTGCTCATCGGAGTCGTGTTTTTGCTTGGGCTGCAGTCACTAAGCCGCGAAGAGCTGGAAAACCGGGTTTGAAAGTGTATGAAAGTGTATAGGCATTTACAACTTACAGCACCTCAACAGCTGAATCGATGAATCCTGATGAATCCTTGAGGCTTACTCAGTTCGGGGCCTCTTGCCTCGAGCCTTAAGCAATAGCCGGACGAGCTGCTTCATGAGCTCAGGGTTTTCCTCGGCGATGGTGTCAAGCTTGTCCTGCTGCTTCTCCAGCAAGTCGCAGTTGTCTGCGGTGATGCAGATCAGACAGGCTTCCTCCAACTTCCCCCCGCACCCAGTGACGTGAGCAAGCACAGTCAGGGCGTTGTCTGTAGAAAGCAGCCTGTAGAGCTCAGTCTCAGCCCTCTTCACCAAGGAGTCCAAGCGATAGCGGTCCGCGAGCCTTCGCACTGAGAGCGCCAGTTGCAGGTCCCCCTGCGCATGAAACGTCTCCGTCATGAGGAAGAGGCAAAGTGAGCGCAGGGAGCTGCCATCGACTTCCGAGTCTGAGCGCAGGTCGACCTCGTTAGTCAGGGCCTCCTTCCATGACGACGAGGAGAACATCTCGCGGAAGTACTCAGACCGCGCCATGAGCACGCGCTTGTCAAAGAACACTGGGGCCGAGTCGCGGAGGAGGAACTTCACAATCACAGGCTCCTGCGACAGATCCAGTGCTTTGACCAAAGGACTGGGCGGATCGGGCAGCGGCAGCCGCGCGTAAGCTTCCAGCTCAACCTGCTTCAGCGCATTCAGTCATCCAGGGCCAGCCGGTGCAGCTTGAAGCTTGTTCCAAGGTACCATCTCGTGCCAGCCATGATCAGGATCTGTTTTGGAAAAGCTCCAAACGTCCGCTCTGCGCAGCCAGAACTCATCGCTGCCTGGAGGTTTCCGAAGTTAAAGGGTGCCCTGTTTTGGGGGGTCCCTTTATCTGGAGATTCTCTTCTCTATTTGGGGGTATAAACGGGGTACACTTCTGTTTTCGGAAGCCCCCGGCCCAGCTTCTTGAACCTCACGTGTATGGCGTAACGCACCGCCCGACACGACCAGTCGCCGTCCACGTGCTCCGGGGGCACCACCTTGGGGACGAAATGAACCTTAAAATTGGGGGTCATATACACCCTAGACTACTATAATCATTAATCCCTATTGCGGTACATGAACCACAAGCCCCTTTGGGGTTCATTTCCCCAAGGCACCTCCACGAAGGCGCTGAGCCCCGCGGAAGTGTCTGGAGTTGACGAAACACCTCGGGGAAAGACCTCGGGGATGCTCCAAGCTAGGATAAAACTCGGGTACCCTTAAAGTCTTTCGGGGCCGCCTGAGAGAAGGGTAGCCCCAAAAACGGGACCGCAATTCAGAGAAGTCACCAGAAGTGTCTTCATAAGCTACAAAACATGAAGCTTTCCACAGAAATTCCCCTCAGTTCCCTCGAAGCCTGCAAAACAGCACGAGTCAACGCAGTGAAGGCCCCGGTCCGTTTCTTAAAAAAGGACCCCCCCCCAAAAAAAATATAATAATAAATAAATAAATATATATACAGATATATGTATGTATACTAATAAAAATAATAATACTAAAACAAAGGAATCTCCGAACACATCCAGAAGTTGGGACAAATCCCACCTTCAGGCACATCTGGAAGTATCCCGCGGGGCCTTGCAGCTCGGAGGTAGCCTTCTGTCCTGCTTAAAGAATCAACAACAGTGGCTTCTTGGGACGGATGAGCAAATTTAGGGTTTAGGGTTTAGGGTTTAGGGATTCTGGGGGGACTTCTAACATGGATTGGCATTGAAAGGGTTGCAGGGGGTGTCTGGAATCGACTCGGGTTGCTACCCGCGCTTTTTCGCCGTTGCCTAAGAAAAATAGTCGGTCCTTAACAGGGATTATGGCACCCCGCTATTATAATCCCTATATTCAGGAGCTGCTAGTATGAGGGGGAACATCCCAAAGGTCCTTTCATAGGGATTCTAGCACCCCCCTATAGAATCCCCTCAGGAGCTGTTAGTAGTAAGGGGGAACATCCCAAAGCATTGGTATCCGCCGGCTGTCCTCGCTCATAGCTGTCCAAGTTCCCCAGAGCCATGCGTACCCTGAACCTGGGCAAGGTTTAGAGTTTAGGGTTTTTCGCTCCCGCATAGCTGGCGGGTTTAGGGTTTAGGGTTTAGGGAAGCAAGAGAGTTGCCATCTGAAACACCAAAACTCGCTCAGCACCCAAAAAACCCCAAAGAGCCCCCCAAATTAAGGAAGATACCGGATATCATATTAAGGATCCCTGAGTTGAGGTGTATTTCTGGGCTCTTTGGGTACCTGGGCTGGCCAGTTGGAGACCTTGTCATGCGAGGTCGTTCTCCCTTCGATAGAACCACCCTAAACCCTAAACCCTAAACCCTTTTTTTTTGAACCCAGACTCTGTAAGTCAGCTGGCACGATGACAATTGCATCGTTTACATGCTAGAAAGTAAGTGCATCCGAAACAGACTGTGAATTGCCGGAAAGGGGCACACGCGTGCTCAGCACTGCCACGCTCACTGTCCAGAGCGACCCCACATGATAGATGGCACTGAAGACACAGCCCTCAAACTGTCAAGAGAACAAGCATTGCAAGTTAAACCCTAAGCCCTAAACCCTAAACCCTAAACCACATTCAACCTAGGATGGCCCTGAAAACCCTCTGAAGAATATTCCTTAAAAAGTCTGAGCCTTTCACAAACCCAATCAGGGAAACAATACAAGATCCCAGGGCCCTAAAGAGGAACCCAGAGACCCCACACCTATACTCCCCTTCGAACCTTATAATGAACATATTATTTTTAATTGAAAATCCTCTTGGGTTTTCTATGAACAAAAAATAATTCCTAAGGGGGATATAGACACCGAGTCTTTTTGGGGGGCTTGTAGGGGGGGATTCAGGGGTTTGTGGGCCTTGCGGATTCCAGCTCCGGCTGTCGGCTTTTTGTTACCTGCCACCTGCCTAGCTGAGCTGGGTTGGATAGGGTTTGGGGTTTAGGGTTTAGGGTGTAGGGTTGGGCCAGAGCCCCAATATAGGCAAAATAATAGCCCGTTTATGGGTTTTGGGCTGTTTTTTCACATACTTTGGGGGTTCAGGTAATGCTTACTCAGGGGTTTAGGGGGTCGAAGGCTGCCGTTTAGGGCGTCTGGGGTCTCGAGCTCGGCTAAGCGTGAGGCCGACGGACCGACGGAACTCTGCGCGCTTTCGCCAACACTCAACATCTCTGAGCAAGTTAGGGTTTAGGGTTTAGGGTTTAGGGTTTGGGGTTTAGGGCCAAGTTTAGGGGGTCCTACAATGACACAAGATACTTCTACGCTCAACTTCAGGGTACCTATACTTGGAACAACTCCGAAGCCCTTCCAGCAGATGAAGACGAGAGGCCATGCGTGTTCTTGAGCAGGGTTCGTTTCCATCGCACAATCGGTACCAGGCAATTCAAACTTAGATCCGAAGCGCCGTCCCTCATGTACACCCAGCACTTGGAACCTTCAGACTAACAGGTCATCTATGTCCTGGAATCCGGAAACCCTGCTCTGTGTATCTCTTTGTGGTCTCTACGAGCTCTCGATTTGGGAATCTGAGCCTGCTAGGCAGATGGTAGGTCAACCAGGTGATAACCAGACCCGCTTGAAGCTCCGTGCAAGCAACCTCGCTTGGAAAATGCAGTAGGTTCGAGGTTTCAGTCCAAAACCTCAAAAACCACCTCAAAATGCTTTGGGGGAGGTGGGGGTTGGGAGGCTTTTTCCTGCACCCCCCACCCCCTACCCCACACCTCTCCATGTCTCAATCCCATTTTTGCGTTTCCGGGGCCATAGAACCATAAGTGCAGGCCTGGGAAGAAGCACCCGAGAGACAATGGAAGCCTAAACATCTTTTGCCAGCTCTGAACTTCCATAGATTAAACTAACCGGTCTGATCATGAAAGTTTCGGCGAGGTCTCAGGGCAGAGTGGCCCTTTCGCCGGCTAATGCAATTTGTGATCGCAAGTTTTATGGAGGGCAGCGGCCGGTCGTGAAGGCACAAAGTTGGAAGACATGTTGTCTTCCGAGTGCTAAACGACATTGCGTCTAGCGCAGGTGAGACGAGATAGGTTCACAGAACCCTGGACCCCTTGCGGGACTTTCGTGGCCCCATGCAAAGAGGACACGCACAAGAAAGAAGCCTCAAGATGCATGGGGGCTTTTGGCAGTTATACATTGGGATGTGGTCCTTCATGAGTATTATAATGAGGGGTACTATAACTACTCCTATTATGGACTGTTAGTACAAGGGGGAGCATCCAGAGCTTTGCAGATGCACGTTCTCTGGCATTAAAGCCGTGAGCTGTGTCCGTGCTGTTTTACCCGCCCAAAAGGGAGCTGAGCCGCACAATCCTGGAGGCTCTGAGGGCATCGGCATCACAAGCCAAGCTCTTGTCAATAGCTCTTCCTCATTGTCCTACTTCTTGCTGTCTGACATGTTTATTGGCAGAAAGGTGCCAATAGACCATGCCTACCAAAACCTATGCTACTCAAGAATCCATGACTCCTGGCATCAGGAAGAGTCTGAAGACTGGCGTGGGGTTGGCCCCCTCGGCGGCGCTTTTGGCTGCACCTTTGGCTGTGCCTTTGGCTGTGCCTTTGGCTGCACCTTGGATGACGATTGACAAGCGGGAACCCTAAACCCTAAACCCTAAACCCTAAACCCTAAACCCTAAACCGGCTCACACGCAAGGCCTCAGGATGGCGCAAACATTATGCGGCTCTGGGCACAGAACCGGCTTCTCACCAGTACCTGTAGCCCCAAAGTCTTCCTTTCAAAGGGAAAACCAGGACGGGCTATTATACCCTATAACCCCTTAAAAAGGCCCTTTATAGGGGTGATTACGGGGATTATAGGGCCTAATAGCCCGTCCTGGAACCCAGAAATCGCCATAAGGGACCCTAAGCATGTAAGTTTAATTGGGCTGCCAGGAAATGATCAATTCGTCTGTGGAAGCTCAGAGTATAATAGTGCTGGCCGAAGCTCGGCGCAAGCTCGCTCGTGCTCCTGCGATCAGGTTAACCACTTGTAGCATTTTGGGGTATCAGGGTTTAGGGCTTTAAGGTAATTCTAGGTAGTCTTCATCTTCAGAATTTAAGCAGATGTAAGAAATAATGTTGACTTCACATTAGTGGATCCACCCGCAATTGTAAAATCCCGCTGCCGGAACATAATAGTGTAGCCCGCCACAATTGTAAAATCCGACCCGGGAAATCCGGTTTTTACGGGCGTGGTGCTACTACCTAATACTAAAACTAATAGTACGTCCTACCAGGATTTAGGCGAACAGTATTGAGGAGGCCCTGGCCGGAGAGATTGATCAATGAAGGGGGGGGGGGGTTTTATTAATGCGAAGTCAACATTACTATTGTTACTTCAAGCTCCGACAAAAAAAACATCCTGCACTCGGACCAGACCTGTGCTGGAAGCCACGTCCCACATCCATCCCAAAACCCTAAACCCAAAACCGCTATAGGCGGGCCGAGGATGCTACAAGCCACGCACTCCCAGTTTCTATACTTGCAACGGTCAAGCCCACTCAACACCGCTACCTCCAGCAGCCGGCTGCAGACACGGCGGCTGCACTGGGCACACCTGAGCTTGAATCGCTTCTCTCCGACAAAACGGAGCTGAGCCCCTTCAGATGTCTGCGCACACTCGCGGAGGGCCCTTGAAGAGGAAGACGCTCGCAACACAAACACAAAGGTCAAAGTGAAACACTGACTTTCGGGCTTCTTTCGGGCTTCCCCAAGTTGAATATGGCTCCATTTTTTGGCTCCAAGTCCAAGCAACTCCATCCGCCGGTGCAGGCAGTTCCCAGAAGCGCACCCCGTTGGCGGTGGTGGCGGCGGACCCTGCAAAGGTGGCAAGGGTTGAGGGTTTAGGGAGTCTTTTGCCAACCTCCTAGCTGACTCAGAGAGACGGTTTAGGGTTTAGGGTTGAGGGTTGAGGGTTTAGGGTGGACATCAGCTTGCATCGACGTATCGCAACTCCGCGCAACCCACACGTGGCACGGCATGGACTCCAGCGCGAAGAGGCGCGCAACCTACCTTAATTGCAACGTAGACGTAGCCACCTTACCAGGATGGGCTATTCTACCCTCTAACCTCCTTAAACGGCCCTTTCTAGGATTTTTATTCTGGGGATTAGAAGGCCTAATATCCCAGCCGATTGAACTCAAAGAGAAGAGCTCTACAGCTCCAAGGGCTCAAACAATGCGAGAGGAGCCGCCGGCCTTCGGAGCCGCCCTGGCCTCGGATCTTGAACCGTCTCACACTGTTGGGCTTAGGGGCTGAAGACCCGAAAGAGCCCAAGAAAGGTGAACCTTTGACATAGAATAGGCTTCTAAAAGAAAAACCAGCAAGGTTAAGGGGTTAACTATCCAGCCCCTAAGTTGCCACCCAGCCCCTAAGTTGGCAGTGGAATTTCCTTACACAGGGGTGTCCGAGGCTTCGCCGAAGGGCTCTTTAGACCCCTTCGGGCTGCAGAGCCGAATGTCTGGGAGTGAAAACTTCCGGCAACTTTGAGACTTTGCCTTCAGGCTCGGAATTCCTGGTCAATCGTCGCTTTGGGGAAAGGCCCCAGACGATCTCCAAAACCCGTCCATGAGAGGTTTTGGAACGCAGAAGGTGACAAGGCCTTCGGATCCTTATAATATGATAATTAAGGCATAGACTCCTTTCTTTAAGGGGTATTGTATTAGTCTATCCTCCCCTTAGAACTTTGATAAAAAGAATGTTTTTAAAACCTCTGGGGTTTTAAATAAACAAAAATGAAACAAATTCCCAAGGGGGATATAGTATGGAGGGCTCCCCGGGCAACGTGTGTGTGCCGAGGCGCCGCGGCCGCGCTTTCGAGGCGCCGCAGCGGCGCCTCGCGCAGGGCAGCTTCGGCAGCCTTGGCCCGGGCCAAAGCCCCGGAGAGCTGCGCCTTCAGGAGCTGCGCCTTCAGGGCCTGAGAGCGGTGCTTGAGATCCCGTTTTGCTTTAATTGTCTTTTTGGTTTTTATGTGACGGTGGACATGATCTGTTCATGAAAACAGATCTTGTTCGGGTTTAGCTCGGTAGTTTGGTGTAGCTTTGCGTGCTTTAGGGTTGTACTTTATAGGCCGAAAGAGAGAGAGGAGCGATGTCTCCACAAGCATTGGAGACACTGTTCAACCAGGCTGCGCAAGTACTCAACCTGAGAGCCTGAGAACAAAAAAAATAGCCTTTTGCCCAACAGCTGCAATCTACAATATTGCGCTTTTGTGCAACTGTAGTCTATTGCAAAAAAGGAGTAAGCTTCTCTCAATTGTCTCTTCTTTTGTCGTTAAGCTAACACAGGACGGGAATCAGGGTACTACTTGGGAGTTCTGGACAAAGCAGTCTAGGCTGATGTCAGGTGTATTGGCCCAAGTATGTCAGGAATTGGGGGACACTTTATAAGTGTTGAGGGCTTCTCATAGTTCGGAAGCGTTCGTTTTGCCAGCATGGCCACGCCAACCGTGTAAAGTTCCGCCAACTGCCAACTCTGCCACGGCGCAAACTAACCACCGGACCCCCAACCCAAGCATTTTGAAATGCAAGTCCTGGCAATCTTGGTACATACAACTTCAACCCCAAAGCAAGGAGTAAGGAGCATTAAGGCCTGAAAGTTCGGTGAGGCGGCGCAAGCCAAAACAAAGGAGGCATTGGCAAGCCACGAAGAGGGCAACGAGTGAACCAATTCTAACCCTAAACCCTATAAACCCTATAAACCCTATAAACCCTATAAACCCTATAAACCCTATAAACCCTATAAACCCATAAAACCCATAAAACCCTATAAACCCCATAAACCCATAAAGCCCCATAAGCCCTGTAAACCCCGAACCCTAGACCCTTCTCTTCCTGGCCTCTTTGGCCTGCGCGGCACGCTCCTGGCCAGGACTATGGAACGTTGGGCTGTTCCCCCTGGTACTAACAATAGGGCCGATAATAATTCCTATTAACGACTGTTAGTCGTATAAGGGACAATATCCCAACTGGAACCCCTTAAGGCAACACTGGCTGGGTTTGGTGCAAGGGGGACGACTCTTGAGCGCACTGACTTCATGGGATCTTTGTTGCGAGAAACAGCCCCTCAGCGAGAGACAAAGGCGTCATGGCGGTTACGCTGTAATCTTCCCTTTTACTCTAACTAGGAGAAAAAACACAACCTCCAACCCAGCAACTGCCACCAACATCATCATCCTCATCCACATCCACATCGCCGCCACCACTACCACCATCAGAACCGTCTGCAGATAGCAATCAGTATCGCCACCACGATTCCCATCGCCATTTGGGATGTTCCCCCTTGTACTTACAGTCCTTAATTAGGATTATACCCCCTATGAAAAATCCCTATTGAGGACTGTAAGCATAATCCATCATGGTGTCTGCCAAGATCTGGGCCTGAACCCTCGAACGTCCGCCTTGGTCCCCACATCCCACATGGCCGCACAGAGTCCCCCAAAAACATCGCCCAAGAAATCCCCCCAAAACATCCCCCAAAAAGCATCCTAAACACTAAGCCCTAAACCCATTAAGGAATCCCCCAAAAACATCCCCAAAGCATCCCCCAAAAACCTCCAACCCTAAACCCACAACCCTGAACCCCGATGAAAGGGTCCTCATGCCTCTTGAGCTGCTGCTGCAGCAGGCTCACGCGCTCCGCCAAAGCCAGGGATGCCTGGGGGAAGCATCGTGGTAGCGAAGACCCTAGAAGGTTTTAGGATGTAGGGTTTAGGGTTTCAGGGTTCTATTTTTCCCACAGATTCTAGGGTTGAGGGTGTCAGGGTTTTAGGGTTGTCGGATTTTAAGGTTTACAAGCCTCCAGAAATCTCAAGACACGCTTGACTGGTTGGGCCTACCATGAACCGCTGGCGCGTCTTCCCACGCTGCTTTGACTGCACCATCTTTTACTTATACTTTTACAAAAAAATTTATTTCAAAGCATTGTTCTATTTCTACATTATACTGCTACATCAGTATATCTTTATGTTCTTCCATTATGATATGTGATTACGACTTTGATATTTCCTGAAACCTTCCTAGGAATCTCTCTAACTCTCTCTCTCTCTCCAAGTTGCCTCGTTGGCCTGCAGGGCTTGCTCCTCTCCGTGGCATTCTGTGAAATCGGCTTTAGGGGGAGGGGGGGGTGGGAACTTCAGCCATGCCCCGAGCTACATCTTGCGCCAAGAGCGTAAGATACCCTTTGCTGAAAGGGGCTTTTCGAGCTGGAGTGATGGCTCCTCCTGTTTGGTCCTATTTGGGAGGTCTTTTACAAGACAAGTGTTTGAACCCATCTCAACGCCATGACTCCAAGTCTACGGCTTGCAGTTTAGCAATGATGCCCATGAAGATCATAAAACAGCCCTACAGGTCCGTGTACCTCATTATTGTATACTTGGGCTCCAGTTTCCTTCTATAGCAAGTACTATAAGGCCCAAGTAATCCCTCCCCCTTCTGCTGCAGTATTTGGGAGGCATGCTGCGCTACTTCCAAGAACCACTTAAGTGCTGCATCACCCCATCCAAGCCCATCGCTGCTCAACACTGGCGTCGTAGACGTCCCTTCTCACCTGTTAACCCCAACCCTAAACCCTAATTAAACCCTAAACCCTAAACCCTAAACCCTAAACCCTAAACCCTAAACCTTAACCCTAAACCGGCCTTGGAGGTTGGCCCCTGACAATGTGCTGACAGCAGCCAATATGGGGCCATCTCTCAACCATAACTGTTGCGGAAATAAGGTACCACATGGAGCTGCCGGCTTCCCCCGGCGTCTCAGGGCACCGATTTTTGGGAAGGTTCAGTGCTGAAGGACTTGAAGCTGCCCTGTCAGATCCTTTCAGACATGTTGCGTTCCTTGCCTTCCGCAGCCAGCGCGACCCGTGGCCTTATCCACAAGCCAAAATAGGCTTTATCGGCGAGGGTTGTGCTTGCACCATGTTGGGACGCGAAGACCTCGAAAAAAGACACCAGTAGCCAGTGGCCATGGTCGCAATGCACGTGCATGGTGGAAGAGAGCCGGCGCAAACAGCGATCCGGTGAGCAGCGCCAGTAGAGCGAGTCGGGGCAGGCTGTTCTACGCATAGCTCAACGCTCTCAAGAAGGTGGCTGGATACTTGCTGCGCTCAACGTCGCCCCGCCCCCCCTCCCCTCCCCCGCCCCACATCGCTGCCTGCCAACGACGGTGGGCACGTTTTTCGTATGAAAACCACTCCAAACGTCCACAGAAAAAAAACTCCAGGCACCGGAGGCAGCAGTGAGGGGCCTTACTAAGGTTCCACAGCCCTGATAGCCCTAAACCCTAAACCCTAAACCCTAAACCCCAAACCCAGGCCCTCCAGAGTGTGGAATGTGCTCACTGCACTGCGGATGTACAACACGCACGGCCTCTACAACGGCCCCTCTTGCCCACAGCAACATCCGGGTTTGCGGTTTAGTGTTTAGGATGGTTGAGGGCTTAGAGTTTAGGGTTTCGCCACCCGCACTGCACGCACATCCAGCGCCTGCATCCGCAGGGTTTAGGGTTTAGGGTTAAGGGTCTCCAAGCAACAACTCACCATCCACAACTTCGTGACAGTTGCCACGATCATCCATTGAGTGCTCAATGTTGGTAGGTCGCACTGCGAGGGGAATGCGGAATCAGCTCCTTGGAGCCTCAACGCCAAACCCCTAAACCTTATAAACCGGCTAAGAAGGTTCAAAGGTTATAAGCCTCAAAGACTACCCGAAACCCTTCTCTACCCGGAGCCTTCCGAACCTCAAAGACATCCTCCCCAGAGCCCAGCGCCCTAAGCCCTTTTTAACCCTAAACCTACAGAGCCTAAACCCTGAACCCTGAACCCTGAACCCTAAACCCTAAACCCTAAACCCTAAACCCTGAACCCTAAACCCTAAACCCTAAACCCTAAACCCTACTTGGAGGTTGCCCTGAAACAAAAAAAGGATCCTCGTGGCCCTCCAGCTGCGACTGCAAGCAGCTCACGCGCTCGGCCAGAGCCTGGAATCTGGGACGTCGCAAGCTTTGCATTTAGGGTTTAGGGTTTAGGGTTTAGGGTTTAGGGTTTAGGGTTTAGGGTTTAGGGTTTAGGGTTTAGGGTTTAGGGTTTAGGGTTTAGGGTTTAGGGTTTAGACAAGCCCCCTACTTGGAGGTGCACGGTACCCCAGCCAGAACTGCACTTCTCAGCCCCCTACGTCCTCTAAGTAGGTTAAGGGCTGACTTATAGTTGGGGTTATAAGTACCCATGAACCTCCAAGTAGCCGCTTTGACTGTTTGTGCTTGAGTGCATGACCTTCTGAGCATGACCTTCTCAGCTGTTAAGGCTCAATCCGGAACCCTAAACCCTCTCATTCATACATATATGTATATATATATGTATATATATATATATATATGCTGTATATATATATATATACCTTCCATGTCCACGGTTTTTGCCAATGTTGCCAATGGTCACAGTGTTTTTGCCAATGGCCACGGTTTTTTTGCCAATGGCCATGGTTTTTTTGCCAATGTCCACGGGTTTCTTGCCAATGGCCACGGCTTTGGCGACGGCCACCAGGTTTTTCAACCCCCGCCCAGCTCCCTGCACCCCCCGAGAAGCGGGGCCCTACAGTCCAGTCTTTGGGGTTCCCATGACGATGCAACCCCGCCCCAAAAAGAGCTGGGCATGCGCCGAAAGGGCCTCTTCTGGCCCAGACCCCCAAATTCGGGGCTCGAAACCGTAGGTCTGGGGCAGATGAGGGCTTCGACACCACCCCTCCTAACTCTTTTCCGTCTTGAGTGGTTCGAGGGTAGGGTGGGGAAAACAAAAACTTTAGGTTGACATGAGTGGTTCGAGGGTGGGGTGGGGCGGGGTAAAACAGAAAACATGAGGATAACAAACTTAGGTTTTTGTTTGCGCTGTTCGTGCCCGGCGCCCGGTACGAGGGTGGGGTGGGAGAAACATGAGGCTAACAAAATTAGGAGTTGGGGGACAGGGCTTGCTGATGGAAAAATACAAACTGCATATTTCTTAATGTTTTGGGATTCTCTGGCTCTACTTGCTACAAGCGTCTACCCATCTCTGCAGCTACCGCAGGCGTATCCAATGTCCAGCCTCCTCGCGGGCAAGGGCTGCGGTGGCCTGGGCGGATATTCGAAAGCCTTGAACCTGGCTGATGCCCGGAACTCCGCCAGCTCCCTATACCATCTCTCGACTGACTACAGCGACCTGTATATGGACGTGACGTCTCCCAGCTTTCTTCTCGAGAATGCAGAAATGGATTAGGGGCTGCTTATTGGTAGGAACATGTAGGAACCCCTTACAAAGCATCGAGCGTGATGCGCATACATGCCCGAGCGTGCAAGAAAACACGTCGTAACTACCGGAGAGCTGAACACCCTAAGAGGGCCAACCCCCTTTTGGGCAACTTTCTGGTGGTCCCTTGTGGCGTTTCGGTGTACCCTACTATGTGATAA